TGGCTGCTCTTCCCAAACTTCCAGGAAGCCTGTTTTTGGCACTCCCCGTGCTCCGGAAGCTTTCCTCCAGGCTCCAGGAGGGCGAAAATGGCCTCCCCGAACCTCCGTGGGGGCCCTGCACTTACCTGGCATCCAAAACGGGCCAGATGGAGACTCCTGGGAAGGGCAGAGCGGGGCCATCCAGGGATGGGATTTGCTGGTTCACTGAACCGGTCATTAAAAATGATAAAATTACATGTTTTAAATATCTGGAAGATTTATGCTACCTATTTTGCTCTATAACACCCCCAATATAAAATAGAGTCTATATTTTTGATCCAAACCACGTGGTGTAGAGGAGAGGGGTTTGGGGGCCCAAACGTAATAGCAGGAGCAAAAGCCCTTAGACTTATATAGCGCTTCACAGTGCTTCACAGCCCCTCTCTAAGCAGTTTACACTTTTCAGCCTTTTGCCCCCAACAATCTGGGTCCTCATTTTATCGACCTTGGAAGGATGAAAGGCTGAGTCCACCTTCAGCCAGTCAGGATTGAACTGCTGGCAGTGGGGGAAGGGAGGGAGGGAGGGAGGGAGGGAGGGAGGGAGGGAGGAAGGAAGGAAGGAAGGAAGGAAGGAAGGAAGGAAGGAAGGAAGGAAGGGGGAATAGCACTTAGACTTATATAGCGCTTCACAGTGCTTTACACCCTTCTACAAGCAGTTTACAGAGTCAGCCTATCGCTCCCAACAATCCAGGTCCTCATTTTACTGACCTCGGAAGGACTGAAGATTGAGTCAACCTTGATCCACTCAGGATCAAACTCCTGGCAGTGGGCAGAGTTAGTCTTCAATACTGTATTTTAACCAATGTGCCACCACAGCTCTGGTGGGTTGCATTATTGACCAGGTAACAGAAGTACCATTCTTGCGGCAAATGAAAAAAAAAAAGAAAAGCGTTTTCAAGCGTATTCAGACAGAGCTCAATTTACATCCCTTCACTTTAAGAACCATCCAAAATTATGAAAGCCCTGAAAAAAGGTGATTTAGGACTGGCCCTTCCACTTAAGACCATCACAGGGTCTCACAGTCATGTGATCAATTTTGGGCACTCGGCTACCAGCATGATGGCTGCATCATCCCAGGGTCACAGCCACCTGCAGCCTTTCCCAGTCAGCTTCCAACAAGCAAAGTCAATGGAGAAAGCCAGATTCACTAAACAACCGGCTTAAGAACTGCAACAAAAAGGGGCATAAAATTGGGCACAAGTCATTTAATAAATGTACTGCTTAGCAGGGGAAATTCCAGTCCCAATTGTAACAGAATAATAGAATTGGAAGGGACCTCAGAGGTCTTCTAGTCCAACCCACTGCTCATGCAGGAGACCTTACACCATTCCAGACAAATGGTTGTCCAATCTCTTCTTTAAAGCCTCCAGGGATGGAGCACCCACGACTTCCGGAGGGAAGCTGTTCCACTTGTTAATTGTCCTGACTGACAGGAAATTTCTCCTTAGTTCTAGGTTGCTTCTCTCCTTTCCATCTGATGCTTCTTGCCTTGCCTTCAGGTGCTTTGAAGAACAGCTTGATTCCCTCTTCTTTGTGGAAGAGTCCCTGAGATATTGCAAGACTGCTATCATGTCACCCCTATTCCTTCTTTCTACAAGACTAGACATGCGCCCAGTTCCTGCAACTGTTCTTCGTATGTTTTAGCTTCCAGCCCTACCTCTAAAGCCAAAGGGAGAAGAAACCTGTCAATATGAGCGCAAGGGTTTCCACTGCTTCCTTCGCAGGCAGCCTCCTCCTCCTCCAGCTGGCCCCCAAGGTGGCAAACAAATGCAACGCATTTATTGTTGGGGAAACAAGAATAAGGCAGCCTGGAAACAGAACCTGGGTTTTGATTGGACTAAGGGGCCCACTGGAGACAAAGGAAGGGCACCAAGGAATGCGTGAAAGGGCTTCAACACCCAAGAAGGTCATCTCTTGCCTTGTACTTGACCCCCAAAGTCTCCCATCGCCCATTATAGAGACAAGGTGGAGGGAAGAAGACGGGGAAGAACCAAATCCTATTGCTGTAATTGTCCTGCTCTCAGTCTGCAGGATTTAGGGCAATTTTGTCCAGGAAAGAACAGAGACCCCACCAGACGTAGGAACGGGGCAATCTGCAACCAACCACAAGCGGTCAGTCACTGGCTCCCACAATACTAGAAACATCAGTACAGGTAATCCTTGACTTACAACAGTTGGTTTAGCGACCTTTCAAAGTTACAATGGCTCCAAAAAAAGTGACCTATGATCGTCTTTCGGAGCTACGAAGGTTGCAGCATCCCTTGGTCACATGATTAAAATCCAGACCCTTGGCAACTGACTCATATTTATGATGGTTGCAGTCTCCTGGGGGGCTCATGGGATCAACTTTTGTAACTTTCTGACAAGCAAAGTTAAAGGGGAAGCCAGGTTCACTCAACCTCCTTGTTACTAACAGTTGCCGTGATTCACTTGACAATTGCGGCAAGAAAGATCGCAATGTTGTAACTTTGAATGGTCACTAAATGAACAGCTGTAAGTCAAAGATGACCTGTACTAAATCACAGGTGTGTCTATTGGAAAGGAAGAAATAGCTTCCAAGCAGAAGAAAATATTTAGGGGTTTTACTTGAAAATTTAAAGTCTGGCAGAGGGAATTCCCTTGACTTCAAATGTTTATAGGACACTCAATCAATATGTGCAGGAGGCATTCCCCTGTTCGGGGAAGAAAATACCGTGAAATGAAACGTCTTTCATATAAACAATAAAGCTGCCTGCCTAATTTATGGCCTAAGCAAGAAGTGTCTGGTGGTCCTACAACAAGACAATGAAATTGTCTTCCAGCGATTTTATAGGAAGAGATCCAACAGCAAGTCACTCCAAATCTATCTCCGCCGGTCCTATTTGGATAGCTTTCAAAATAGTGGTGCCGTCCAAAGTCTTTACTTGCATGCGTGTAATTTCCCTTTAAAAGAGGAGCAGAAACTAAAATACTTTGGCTTCTCCAGCTCCCAGCTTTGACTCCACACAGCTAGACTACAATTCCCATTAGCTCCAAATGGCTCAAAAACTCGAAGTTTCAGACAATCTGTTCCACCGCACTACAAGGCAAAACATACCAGGATGCAACCTTGAAGGTAAAACACAACTATTTACTGCAGTATCCTCAGAACTCAATTAAAAATATATATATCTTGGAACCGCCACACTTGTAGTTTTGTTATATTTACTAGAAATGTTGTATCAATGCTATGCTTTTGGGTGGATGGGTTTAGTATAACAATAGTAGCTACAAGCCTTATCCCCCTCCCTGCCCCCGTAGCTCAAATTGTACGCTGATTCCGGCCATTCTATAACAACGTACGTATGGCATGTCTCTCAATAGCATTTTCTTTCAAATCAAGGTTGCATATGATTTCATTGTTGTTGCATACCAGGAATGCAGAATGCCTATTTTTAGAGGCATTTTAAGACAATATCAAGGCCCAGATGCAGAATTTGCTTTCACCTGTTAGTCTGAACTGGCTTTGCTCAAACAAGCAAATTATTTTGATGTTTTCACAAGAAGTTGTGTCACAAAGGCAAATACTCTGTTGCTGATGCTATTTCTGACATATCAGCTAACCAACAGATTCCCGATTTGGTCCATGGACTAAAATCACAAGAAACCAGAGCAATTTGAGTCGCCATGGGCGAATAGGTGGCAAAATAAATCAAATAAATCAAATAAATAAATAAATAAATAAATAAATAAATTTAAATCTCAAGGCCCAACATGGTTGGCTTCTAATTCATAATTCACCAATAAAGGAGAATATTTATAGCTCACGTTTGAAATGAGGAGTCCTTGGTGCTCTCTAAACTTGATTGTTTTTTCCCAGATTACTCAAACTAAGTAACAGCATCAGTGTTAGTCAACTAGCACCGATGTTATCTAGTTTGGGTAATGAAACATTTGCAAGAAAACAACCAAGCTTGAGAGCACCAAGGACTTCTCATAATTCACTGCTTGGATTAGAAGCTGGTTTCCAGTGGACCATTTTCTACAATCTAGAGAACAATTAAAGGAGTTGTTGGGTTTTTTTTTTAATGTTACCTATTTTTTAAGACAGGTTCTCCATCCACACTACAGTGGGCTTCAGCCAACAAGCCGGATATATATATATATATCCCCGACCAGTCTGTTTCAAAATGCTTGACCAAAACTATTCAGCATAGTTTGGGGCACTGTGGGAAGCCAAGAGGGAATTTGGAGGCAGCCAGGACCACCTACCGGCACCAAGTCAAGACCAGCTCACAGGATGATGGGGGTTGCGGTGGAAGGAATTTAGCAGGGACCAGATTGGAGACGGAGACTCGTTGTGGGGGGGGATTATTGTTTCTTGACAGTCCCTCCTGGTCAATCCCACGGGATCTCCCCCACCCTCTGGACTGAGGCTGTAGCCCACGCAATGTGTGGAAAGAAAGGATGAACCTCGGCAGGCTCAAAGCAACCGCGTTGGGTCGGGTTGGGCACCGGCGCAGTTGGGACGGAGCAAGGCGGCTTTTCCTGGAGGCCGCCTTGCAGAATTCGCCCCACTGTCGCCTTGTCTCGCCTGGCCCGGGAGAGAGACGCGAAGTCCTTTCAGGACCAGGAGACGCTGCTCGCGTTGAAGTCCGGCGGGGCCGCCTTTCCACCCGGCCGGGATGGAGCGCGATCCGCGAGGCGCCAACCGGGCAGGAAACCAGCCACGCCGCGCCTCGGCGCTGCCCGTCTGAAGGCGCCGGGAAGGGGCTGCTCGGCCCGAGGGGGCGCACGGCCGGCAGAGCCGCCCCGGGCCTCCTCCTCGCGGGGCGCTTGCTGTCCCGGGGCCGCGAAGGGACGGGCGAAGCGCGGCTTCGAGGCAGCAGGCTCCCCCGGGCTGCGGTGTCCGGGGGTTTCCAAGGAGAGAGGGGATGCCCGGCCGGGCGGGCAAGGAGAGGCCGGAGGGTCCCAGCCCGACGGGGCGGCGGAAAGCGCCTCACCTGTGCGGAACTCCAGCGTTTGGTCCTGCTCGGCGTCGCCGACCTCACGCAGCAGCAGGACGTAGAGAATCCCGAAGTTGTTGTGGATGCCGAAGATGGAGCCGTGGCACCAGGTGGCCGCCAGCACCACCACCCAGCCGAAGCCGCCGTCGGGGGGCGTGAAGTCGGACACCGCCGCCGGCCCCGGCCGCCTCTCGCGGGCCCCCGACGCTGCCCGGCCGCCGCCGCCGCCGCCGCCCCCCTCCTCCTCCTCCTCCTCGGCCGGCTCCTCCGCCTCCAGGGCGCCCTGCTCCTCTGACAGCGCCTGCTCCTGCCGCCGGAACGCCATCGTCCCGGGCCGGCTTAGCTGCGCGGGCGGGCCGAGCCGAGCCGGGTCTGGGCCGCTGCTGGGGCTGCCGCTGGGCTGCTCCGCCGCTACTGGCTGAGCTGAGCTGCGGCGGCCGAGCCGGTCCCCACGCCTCCTGGCTGCCCGGCTGCGCTCCGCCCCCGGCCGCCCTCCGCGCCGCGCCGGAGCCTCCCCCGCGCCACCCGGCCCGCCTCCCGAGTCCGGCCTCGCCGCCGGAGGCCGCCTCGGCCCTCTGGCGCCCGGCGCGGGCCTGGAGCTGGCGGGCAAGAGCGGCTCCCTCCCGGCGCGCCGGGCTCACGGCTTCGGAAACGGTGAGGCAGCGGCGATGGCCGCACGTGTCCGCCGAGAAGCGGCGCCTTCCGCGGCGACACCTCGGCTGGCGGGGCTCCGGCTGCCGCCCTGTCGCGCTCGGCGATGCGGGGAAGGGGCGGGGAGGGTCGCCGGCGGGAACGGCTGCGCGATCCGGGAACGGAGTCCCGTGACCACCGCCGCCGCGACAAGTGGCTGCTGAAGGGGGCGAGAAGGGGGAAAAAAACCCTCAGTCGCCCGGCTGAGGCGGAGTCTCCCGCTCATTTTGAGGGAGCCTCGCTGGGAGCGGGATCCTCCACAGGCGGGGAGTGAGCGGGAAGGGATCTCGCACGCGCGCCCGGGGAGTGAGGGGCTGGCAGAAGCAGGCCCCCTTTCTCTGCCCCTCCCGCTTGTCGCCTTTCGAGTTGCGCCACGCCAGGGGAGCCCCCCCGAGGCCCCTCATTCTGGGGGCTCTTCAGTCAAGGTTAGCCCCCTCATGGCGCCTGAGGAGACGAGGGGAGCCGCGGCTGAGGGAGAGACAGAGAGGCCGGTGCGCGAAGCCGAGGCTCTTTTGGTTGCCAAGCCGGGGATGAGGGGCTCCTCGGGGCCGGCGGGGCAGGGGCGCGGGCCACGCCAGAGGGCGGCTGGCGGCTCCGCCCGGACGCAGCGACAGCCCGGCTCCCAAGCGGCGCGTCTGCTCCGCGCAGCTTCCGAGGCCGCCGCGGGCGCCGTCGCTTGGCTCTCCGCCAGACCTCGGACCGGCGAGGCGCGGCTCGGGTTCTCTTTCCCGCGGGGAATTGCGCCGAGCCGCTTGGGCCCAAGCCGCGGGAAACCTTCCTTCCTCCCGCTTCGCTCCCCGTTGCTTCCTGCTTTCCTTTCTCCTATCCTGGAAATAATGACAATTGCGCTTGTTTTATGGCCTGTTGCTCTTGCCCGAACAAGGGAAGCGTTTTTAAAAGGGATGTTTAGGAGGTACCCAAGTATAAAGCCACGCCAAAGCATATACCTGGGCCATTTTCCCAGCTGGGCAATTTTTGTGGCTCTAGAGCTTATTGGACTACCATCCCCAGCAGCCCCAAAAAGCATTGTAGAAGAGTGGGAATGCTGGGAGTTGCAGTTCATCAGGATCTGGGAAAACATGGCTGTCTAAGTCAGGGCTCTCCAACTTTGGCCGCTTTAAGCCTGGCGGACTTCAACTCCCAAGCTGGCTGGGGGATTCTGGGAGTTGAAGTCTGCCAGGCTTAAAGTGGCCAAGGTTGGAGACCCCTGCTCTAATCCTTTATTTCAAAGATCTTCCTTCCTTCCTTCCTTCTTTCCTTCCTTCCTTCCTTCCTTCCTTCCTTCCTACCTACCTACCTACATTTTTGAGCAAGGAAAAATAAGCGTCTCCAGCCAGCATTTCAGCCATGGCTGGAAATTTGATTGGAATCTAAATATGTGGGGTTGGGAAGAGCTGGAATGATCAAATGTCAATTTTCTTTTACCACACAGGTTTGAAGAGGTGCAAACAGCAGGGACTGTCATAACAGGGGTGGAGCCTTTAGGGTAAGGGCGGAGCCTAACAATACCTGCTGTGGTTGGAGCATGCTCAGATAAGTTGACAGGAGCTGGGGAACTCCGGGCTCAATGGAAGGCAAGCAGAGATCAAACTGCCTGTCAAAATCTATCTTTGGGACGTAAGAAAACCAGGTGGTATTCGTTCACACTTGATTTCAGCCGTTGTTGAATGCAGGTAATCCTCAACTTACAGCCATTCATCGAGTAACCATTCAAGGTTACAACGGCATTGAAAAAGTGACTTATGACCGTTTTTCACACTTATGACCACTGCAGCATCCCCTGGTCACATGATTAAAACACAGATGAACCTGCAAGGAGTATCAATCCTTCCATTTCCCACCATGCAGTCAGAGCTGAAAGAAGCTTCTTGGATGAAAAGTGAAATGTCTTCAAAGAAAAAAAACCAAGAATGTCCAGTTGCCAATTGTCACCTTTGGGTCAATGGAGAAAGCTGGATTTGTTTAAAGAGGCGTGACCAAATGTTGTAAAACAGAGCATGAGTTGCTTAATTACTGCATTGTTTAGTAACGGGAGTTCCGGTCTCAATTGAAGTTGTAAGATAAGGCCTTTTTCCACTCCCAGGTTTCCTCATTTTTATCAAAGAAGGCAAAGAAGATTTTTTTTCACATGGATCATTTAATCATCTGGTTCTGTGGCTCCTTCTCCAGATGGTCCTTTGGTGTTTGAAGCCCAATTCCCACACTCTTCCTTGGCATGGTTCGAACTTAAACTGGTGTTTCTCAAATCTCAGATTTGTGGCTGGCTGGGGAATTCTGGGAGTTGAAGTCCACAGGCCTCGAAGTCTTTGAAATGGTTTCTCTGTGACTTAAACCAACACAAACATTCCCAAGCGAGAAAGCACGCAAGGGACAACACACCCAAATCCGCTTTTTTTTTTTTGTCGCTCCCGCTCAGAACTAAACAAGGCCAAGTCCTGGTTAGTCCTCAGAGAGGAGTCTAGCAGGAAGTGTGATGACAATGGGCTAAACTGGGTATCGAAAGGAGCGGTTTCATCCAGGAAAAAGGGGTTTTGTGCTTCAGCCAAGAGCACAGCATGGAAGTTCCCAAGAGGACAGCTGGACGTCCGGGCTGAGGAGATGTTTGCAGGGGAAGGATTTGGTTGGGTGGAGGCCAAGATGATTCTGACGGAAGAACCGCCGTACTACAAGGCCGTACTACGAGGCCGCACCACCGTACTACGAGGCATCTCCCAGAGCCCGGATTTAGCCTTTGCAAACTTTGGGGGGGTGTTTGGACTCTGAGGACCACGACCTCATTGTTCCCGCATCAGGTGAGTCAAAAACATCCCAACGGTGTCATCCAGACCAATGGATGCAAAATTTCAAAGAAAGAATTAACTATACAGTGGGAAGAACGATGGATTAAATCTACCAAAATTATAGCCGGTTACAGGTAGTCTTCCAGTTACGGCTGTAATGGAGCCTGCCCATTATGGTCATAAGTTACAGGTAGTCCTCAATCATACATTGCAATGTCCTACCTGTCAGTGAATACTTCAGCTTCAACCATAACAACACAAGAGCACACAATAGATACAAACTCAAGGTAAACCACACCAAACTTGATTGCAGGAAATACGACTTTAGCAACAGAGTGGTCAATGTCTGGAATACTCTACTTGACTCTTGGTTTCTTCCCCAAACCCCAAAAACTTTAACCTCAGACTGTCTACTGTTGACCTCACCCCTTTCCTAAGAGGTGTCTGTAGGGGGCGTGCATAAGTGCACCAACGTGCCTACCGTCCCTGTCCAATTGTTTCTTTTTTTCTTATTCATATCCATTTCATGTATTCATATATATATTCATATAACCATCTTTATACTTATACCTACCCTGTTTCTCCAACAATATGGCCTCCCCCAATAGGAAGTCCCAGCATGTTTTATAGGCATGAAATGAAATTAAGTCCCTCCCCCCAAATTAAGGCCTATATTAAAACATGCAAAATGGGGGGAATGGTGGGGGGGCTTGCCGTTAGGAAGTACTTTTGTTGCACACCCGGATATGGTGCTGCCTGCGTTGACCCCGATACGAAGTGCCCCACCAACGCCGAGGTCAACATCCAAGCTGTCACCGCCCGCCCGAAGATGCAAGGGGGGGGGAATTAAGTCACCCCTGAAAAGACGGCCTAGCCATTTTTTCAGGGCTCAAAAAAAAAAAAAGACCCAGCCTTATTATATGAGAAACACGGTATTATCTTGTAAGCAATTGACAAATCAAATAAATAAATGAATAAATAAATAAACTTACAACCACAATTGAGCCCAGAATTGATGTTGCTCAGTGGAACCTTTGTTAAGTGAGTGTTGTCCCATTTTATGACTTTTCTCGCTACATTTGCTCAGTGAATCACTGCTGTTAAGTTAGTAACTTAGGTGTTAAGTGAATCTGGCTTCCCCGATGATTTTTCTTGTCAGAAGGTCGCAAAAGGGGATCATGTGATCTTGGGAAACAGGAACGGTCATAAGTATGAATCAGTTGCCAAGCATCTGGATTCTGATCACAGGATCATGGAGATGCTGCAGAGGTCGTGACTGTGAAAAACAGTCCTAAGTCCCTTTTTTCAGTGCCATTGTAACTTTTTTAAAAAAATATATGTTTTATTTGTAATTTTCCTTTAACATCCATACCAGTGGTGGGATTCAAATTTTTTTACTACCGGTTCTGTGGGTGTGGCTTGGTGAGTGTGGCAGGGGAAGGATACTGCAAAATCCCCCTTCCCTTCCCTCCCCACCCCACTAACCTGCTTTCCAGCTCTGTTCTCCTGGGCAGGGCAACCAAAGAAGACCCAGCCCATCAGCTGGGACTCGATGGGAGGCAGAGAAGAGATGGGGGTTGGTGGGGCCAGTCAGAGGTGCCATTTGCCAGTTCTCTGAATTACTCAAAATTTCCGCTACCGGTTCTGCAGAACCAGACAGAACTGGCTGAATACCCACCTCTGGTCCATATATATTTTGGAGACAGTGTATTGACTGGTTCAATATTTTTTTTTACACAAATGCTAGCAATAATAACACAATTAGGTATACATAATCCTAGCCTTCCAACTTCTGACCTTAACCTGCACATCGTACTTATAAGCTTCAATAATCTTTCTTCATGCAGTATGTTTGCCATCTCCTGTTAAATCATTGTAACTTTGAATGGTCACTAAATGAACAGTTGTAAGTTGAGGACTCACTGTATAACGTTTGCAAGACCGATTT